ATTTTCAATTTTCTTTCCAAATATTTTTCTTTATTAAAAATAACGGCACTTTGTGCTTAATACAAAAAATGTAAGTTTAAAACAATAAAGCATTTAATATTCACCATGATAATTTATTTTAAATAATTTTATACAATTATTAGGTTTTTTTTTACTTTAATTTACTTTTAATTTTATTTTTAAATATTTTTAAAATCAAAATATTTATTTCTTGCAGTATTTCGCGATAACGAAGGGAATTTGAGTCGCTTGTGGCTGTCCATTCGTGTGTGCATTTCTAATTTGGTTAGGCTTCAAAGAGTTGCCCGAGTTGGGCTTTGGTACTCTGCGGGGAAATGGTGCCAAAGGAAATGGAATATACATATAGGGCATAAGGGGTCCCCTGAATGGGCTCCACATATATATTGAAGCATCAAGCAACCAACCAGCGAACCAGCCAATCCACCTGTGTCTGCGCACCTATTCTCCCATGTTGTAAATCAGTTTATTGTCTAATTAATGGCGATGCTTAAATGTGGCACTGTTTTTGCAGCCGTGGTTGGGCGAACTTAATTGCATTTCGTCACAGAGCGACAAAGCAAATGCCACGGGGCAAAAGCTCAAATGAAATGCACATCGATCGAAAAAGGGAGGACAAGGGCACATGTGGGAAAATGGAAGAGACGGGATGAGCTGCAAAGTTCTTGCCTAACTTGGTTATATTTTTAATCAAAACTCATTTCGCTTGATTGAGTTTCTACAGAAGCCTCTCTGCACAAAACGAGTGCGCCGGCATAGTAAGAGGATTTAGCCGGGCTAAACTTTAATTTGCGGCATTAATTTATTACCGGGGCACTGGGACAGTTTCCATGATGGAAATGGCGCCTGGCTAAACATTCTTGCATGTTATTTATTTTTGCAAGTGTCTCGGCCAGGCAATTAGTCCTCAGGTAAGGAAGACAGGACGACGGAAGATGGTAAATGGGAGGTTAAAGGACGAGAAAGGACGAGGAGGAGGCCCTTTGTTGGCCATCAATTCAAATGCCCGTCCTGAAGCACTAATGAGCATTAATTGCATTTACTGTCTCAATGGCCCGCGCCCCTTCCTTTGAATTAAATCCACTGCAATATTCCCGCCTTATCATCGCCTTTGAGACAAAGTATAATTGAAATGCTTCCTATAGTTCCATAGTCCTATTCATCAGATTCCGTTTGACATGCCATTCTGTCGCAGACGATACTAAAACCAGTGTCTGTCATCACTACACTGTAATAAAGGGTTTGGTACCTCAAGCCAAGAAAATCAGTTTAACAACAAAAAGTTTCCATTATTTTCCAAGTGTAATTTTGCTATTTATTAAAAAAATTGTAATTCGAATTTTTGTTATTTATTTTATAGAATTTTATTTGAATTCCATACTAACAAATCTTTTTAGCAACAAAAGTTTTATCTAATTAATTTCAACCAATAATGTAAAGATTTTTAAGTTTTATTTAACTGCTTGTTTTGCCTTGAACAATTACAGTTTTTTTTAAATTTATTTAATAGAGTTTTTTTTTCTAAATTCAAAAACATTTGAGCTAAAAATAAGAACTTACACGTACTTTTTTATCCGCTGTTAAAAAAGACACTTGTCAAGAAAAATTCCAAATAAGAATAAACTGCTTGCTCAGCTGTAAAAAAAATTAAGACACGAATTTCCGTCTCTCCATATTGTTTTACGACTCCTACATTTTGGCCAAATAAATCTGGAACGCAGTGTATGGCAAAGTTTCCCCCCAAAAACCAAGGGAAACCCTACACGAAATACGCAAGCATCTGCAACATTTTTGGCAAATTGTTTTGTTTTGCATAGTTTTGTTGATACTTGATACTTGTACTTGTACTTGGGAAAGAAGAGAAGCCCTAGAAAGGGGGTTTGTTGCTCATCTTGAAGCGACCATAAAATACAAATAATTGGAAAACGTTTGCTTGCATAAATTATGCAAGAAATTGAAATTTATTGTCAACAATGGGAGGGAAAAGAACAAGGATTTCTTCCTATTTTTTTTTTGGCTAGCAAGACCTCCCGCTGCATAAGATACAAATGGCCAATCAATGGGAGTGGTGGGCGCAAAAAGCTGGCAGCAGAATAATTATATGTACACATGCTGAATATTGATGATGAATTGTTTTGTCTGGCAGCCTAAAGAGAGAAAAAAAATGAAATTAATAGAGTCGGAGGAGAAAAGCCGTCAATGCGGTTAATGATGCTAGCGCCATTTGCAGGCCGGAAACGGAAATGCCACACACACAATCAAAAGCGGACATGCGAAATAATGCCATATTATTCGGTCATTCTTGTCGGATCAATTATAATAACAAATTACTTCAGCCACAGCGTCTGGGTCACCAAATGCAATTACGCACGCTGGACTGGCCACGAATCCTCCGGAATCCCCAATCCGCAATCCCCACAAGGATCTACTGGGCATAAAAGTTGCCAACCTTGCGAAATTATTGCACTCATTTCCCGCCAATCACCGAAACAACTTTTCGCATAAGGCCCACACAAAATTAGTGAGTGCGGCCAGAAATCGAATTATTTATTTGTACTCTGTACGCAAAAATATTTAATTCGTTTGTTTACTTAATTAAACTAGCGAAAATTAGGACTCGTGCGGCGCGCTAATTATGCGATATATTTTCTGAAATATTTACTGAAATATTCTCTGAAATATTTTCTAAAATATTTTCACCTGATATTCACATAGCTATTGCCAAGCACAGGTGCCAAGAGATCACTTACACGGTTGCCCCCAGCCAATTTAGTTCATTGAATCGTTTGCCACTGCCATTCATTGAAAATTTAAACAATTGATTCTGTTTCAGTTCACCGCTCGTCACGTACAACAACAAAACACAAAAGGCATTCAGAAAGACGGGCAAAAAAAAGAAATATAGAACGCGTTCTGTTATCGGCGGCTAAACGATGACGCTTCACTCCGATTTTCGCACCGCTCTGCTCTGCGTTCCGTTGGAAAATGGTACGGCATCCGGCGAAAATCGCCTGCCGAGGCTGCTGGCCGAGCCGCCTTACATTTTCCCCCATTTTCCCGTCCTTTCATCCACTGCACCGAAAAAAATTTAATTATAAGAAATTCAGAAAGAGTTTTCTTTGGTAATACAAATATTATTATATAAATTAAACATAACATATTGAACAAATTCCAAAGAAACTAAAAATGTTGAATAAAAATAAGAGTTATTATATTCATTAAATTAAATATTGTAACAACAGTTCATAAATTTCTAAAATAAATAAGTGAATTATTTTCTTATACTTATTTTATATTATTTTGTAATTAATTTTTTTGATTGATAAATTTTATCAGATTACAAAAGTTAATATATATTTTTTTTCGGTGCACAAACATTGTTTTCCTGAGCACTGCTTGTAAGCAACAAGTTGTTGGCCCGCACTGCTTGCCCGCTTTGTGTGCCGAGTAAATTGGTTGTTGTGGGCGTATATAACAGTTTCCCCGGTGGGCGTGGTCCACCCAGCTGGGACCCACAAATGGCTAAAGATTTCGAATTTTGCTGAGGGAATTTATTTAACCCAATTGTCACGTTCGATTTATATGAACAAACATTTATTGTGGTTATATTTTAATTTTCCTTTTTTGTTTTGAGGATTTTAAGTGTGGTTTTTTATATATTATATATTTTATTTTTAATTAAAGAACAGAGTGTAAATAGTATGTACATACTATTACATTGCAAAAAAAAATTTATTTTGGTTAAAGGACACAAAATTAATATAACAATTTTTTAGCAATTCAATGTAGATTTACCACTCGTGACACTAAAGGGTTAAGACCCCTCAAATACTAAGGAACTGGTGTTTGTTTCACTTTGAAACTGTAGTTACGAGCATTTGATGCGATTGCAAGACAACTTTTTTATTATCCCGACGCAGCCTTTAAGATTCAGCTTTAGTGATTATTTTGTTTCACTTCACTTCAATACTCAGTGAATTTCATGCAAGTGAACTTGCTCCTCGAAATTTCCATAAAATTTATTCCTGAATTTCTGATGTCCTGCATAGCGAACGAGTGTAAATATTTTATGCGCTTCTCCGACGTTCTTCCGAGAAAATTGGCTTCGACTTAGAATTGATAAAAAATTCCCTACAAAATGTACGAGAATTTCATATAAAATGTATTTTGCAATTAGCAGCACTCTGTGTGGTGTGAAAATTCCAGGGTCTTAGGCACAATTCAAAGTGTTTAGCACGGAAAAACTCAAGCTTATGCTTATAGGGTTTTCCTCTTTAAGGGAAACTGACTTTGCCACATAATTTTCTGCACATGTCCGCAAATATATGTGTGATTGTATGCTATCTTTTTCCCCTTTAATTTTATGACTGGTCAGGAAAAAAGCACGAGAATGGCTAAAACTTTACACCGGGACATATACTTTTTAATTGTTTCTTGTTACATATTATTTCACGGTTACTTGGCTCGGAGTTAAAGTGGCTTAGCTATTATTGTCTTATCTGACTTTATATTCTCATTTATTGTTAAGTAATTATTGTCTGCTGAGATTTACTTTTTTTAGCAGTTCACTGGAGAAATTTCGCCCCAATTATCGCTCTTTCGACTTGATGTCGAGCTCTATCGACTTTAATCCAATCCCAAATCCAAGTTAAGAACAATCTGGCGCCAGCTGAGAGAGTTTAAGCCCAGTTAGTTGGAGTTGCTTGAGTAGCGGCGAAGACAATGATTTTTTTGTTAGGTAATGCCACTTTACTATGCTATAATGTCAGCAGCGCTCTTTGGTCGCACGTTCCGGGGCGATAAAACCCGGAGAGACGGGGCTTTAAACGCAAAACAAAAAAAAATGAAAGAAAGAAAGACTAGAGAGTGATGTAAAGACTGCAATCACCTGCACGTTCTAGACCCCATTTGGCAGTCGAGTCGCTGACCCATAAAAGCGGGGATCTCCGTGGTCAGCGGCATCAGTTCCACATCGGTTCAACATGTTCTCCAAGTCGCAATCCCACTTTGCTCCCACCCTCGCCCTCGTCCTTTTGGCCTTGGCCATGGGGTTGGTCAGGGGCGACTACGACTGGTATGGCGACTATGCGGGCTCCGAGCTGGACTACATCTTCGGGGATGCCAACTACGATGCCGTGTGCCCACCGGACGGCTATCCCGTGTGCGCCTCCGATGGCTACAACTACCATCCGTTTTCGAGCAAGTGTCGCCTGGACTCGCATAACCTGAAGCTGCTGTTCGGAGGCAAGAAGGGTAAGTTTTCAGGGTTTTCTGAATTTTTTCGCAAGATTTTTTCTCCATAAAAAAAACTAAGCAATTTTTTTTTCACCATTTAAAGAATTTCCTTAATGAAAAAGAAACATTTAAATTGTCCAAAAATGATTTACATTTTTCTGTTTAATAATTGAGTAATTTATATTGAAAAAAATGCCTTAACAAAATCTAAAAAAATAACACTAATTAAATGAAATAATTAATCTTTCTTCCTACATTTGGCAGAACTTATCCAAACTGATCTCAATTACTGTCCCTCGTATCCCGGCCAATCGTATGCTCCCTCGGCTCCTGCTTATGGATATTATCCCAAGAGTTCTCCAGTCCAGAGTTATGCTCCCGTTCAGTATTCCTCATCGTCGTCCCAGAATTCGTATGCCTATGCCGCCGCCAGTGGTCCCTATGGCGCCAAGGCAACGGCCGAGGCTCCGGGTCCGCATCCTGTGGCTGCTCCTTCCTATTCCGTTTCGTATCCCTCTGCCTACGCTCCGCCTTCGCCTCCTGCCAAGTATCCCTCTGCTCCTGCCAAGTATCCCTCTCCACCTGCCAAGTCTTACCGCCCCTTCTCATCCTATCCCGCCTATGCCGCTGTCTACAGCTATGCGGGCACCACCAAGGCGCCATCTACCGGATCGACCACCACCTCGGCCACCACAGCCTCCAGGGCCACCACAAAGGCCAACAGATATCCGGGATACCCAACCAAATATGCAACAACCACGGTGGCAACCACTAAGGCGGCAACAACAACCACAGCAGCAACAACGACCACTGCGGCAACCACTAAGGCAGCAACAACTACGGCAGCAACAACCACAGTCGCAACAACCAAGGCAGCAACAACCACAGTCGCAACAACCAAGGCAGCAACAACCACAGCGGCAACAACCAAGGCAGCTACAACAACCACTGCAGCAACCACCACAGCGGCAACTACTAAGGCTGCAACAACAACTACCGCAGCAACAACAACCACTGCAGCAACAACAACCACAGCGGCAACTACTAAGGCTGCAACAACAACTACCGCAGCAACAACAACCACTGCAGCAACAACAACCACCGCAGCAACAACAACCACCGCAGCAACAACAACCACAGCAGCTCCTGTAAGTAGAACCTTAAGCCATCAAACTGATCTCTAAACTATAATAAACAATCCCATTTATATCGGTTCACTTTAGAATCCCTAAACACTGAATGACAAAAGCATCGATCGGAAGCACCACCAATGAACGAACCACCCGAAAAGCACCGCGAAACCACTTGAGGATATCACCCAACGAAATCATAATTTTAACAGCAATTTAAAGCAGCAATATGTAGAGTGTTCCATTTAGCCACAATAAATAAATCAGTACCAGCACATAAACAAGTTGATTCGATCACATCTGGATTTTTCGATATTTTTTGGGGCACTGAAAAAAAGTTGTACTATGACTTTGGATTTTTCATTTTTTTCTAAGGGAAAAGTAACTCATTTAAAGGTATGATATTAAATTTATTAAAATTCAAAAAATTAATTTGAATGGATTACTTATTTTCTGATAGACTATCCTTCAATCTAAAAATGTATAGAATATCGTAGTATCTGATGATTCAATTTTAAATTTGTTTGCAGAAATAATATTAAAAGATATTAAATTGTAATGAAATTATCTATAAATTCCCTCATATTCAATTATAAAGATGACTTAGGAGATAATGTCGTTTCTTAACACTTTAAAGTGATTTTGCTAGATTTTTTCTATGTGGTGTTGAGGTGTTTGGGTGGTTGGGTTGGGTGGTGCGGTGTGGGCGGCACTTATCAACGCCTCTCGCCCACCACAACTACCACCACACACATGCGAACAGGTGTTTGCCATTGTTTGTTGGCTGAATAATTTTCGCTGCGGCTTAATAGATTTTTTTAAGCAGTTTTCCGCTTTTGTGCTCGCCCTTATCTTTTGACAATAAAACGGCATTAAAAGCGGGTCGGAAATCGGTGGCGGAAGGGTCGAAACAATGGGCCACAATAGATGGGGGGATGGGGTCTCCTACGGAAACGGAAATTAACAAATGCCCCAGGCGGCACTTGGCATGCCAAACAACAAGGACAACGAGGACAACCGCCCGGCTAAAATAGCCATTTATATTCAAATTGTCTTAACTTGGCTCAGATTTTTGTGCCCACGAGCTAACATTTTTTTGACAGTATTTGTATGTTTCTCTCTTTTTTTTCTGCCTCCGAGGGCGGCCAAAAAGTTTAATGGGGAAATCTGTTTAATTAAATGATAAACATTTAATTTGGAGCCCCCACTTTGCCAGCCGTTTGTTGTTTTTTTTTTTGGGTGAAAAGATGTACGATAGGCGTTTTGTTAGAAAAAAATGTAGAAAGGGGTTTTGAGACATGAAATACATAATTTAAATAGTCTAATTAAATGCAAATTTTATATAAAAAATGTGAAACTATAATTATTTTATTTTACTTAATAATGTGCAAGCAAGTGCAAAATATCTCTGTGTTTTGTTTTAAATTTGTTATCAAAGCCAGACCAAAAAGCTAAAGATTGCTGTTCAGATTATGATTATTATTAGCGTTTATCGCATTAATGTGATTAGGCGAACTTTTCTCAGCTGAGGTTTTTAGCTGAGAATCGGATTTACAGGTGTTTCTTTGTTGAACGATAAACTGCTGGACTTATCAATTTAACATAAATATTCGCATCTCTGCATTTTCGTACATATTTTAAAGCTGGCGTCTTGGGAAATGATAATTTTGCCCCCTCAAAATCATGCAAAACCATTTCACAACTTGCGCATATTTTGTGTAAAATAATTTGTAAAATTTCATTTATTTGATTTGATTTACCCCGACAGCAATGTTGTTTTTTCGCCGGCAGCTTGGTGTTTTCGCTTTGCTCATTAAAAGTTTTCACCGCGAATAGAGAGTGCGAAAAGTGCTGAGCGGGCGAAAAGATCCGGCACAATTGAATGAACTCTTTTTTTTTTTAACTGGCGCCGTTCCCTCAGAACCGGCAAAAATGCAAAACGCTGAAGTGAAACTTGAAAGACAGCTGCCCGTAAAATTCAACCGCCCCTTCAACTTTTGATAGCCGATAGCAGATGGCAGTCCCAGCATCCTAAGCCAATTATTGACATTCTCTGGCGGCAGCTCGCATAAATCAAAATTTGCACAGAAGCCCACGAAAGGAACTGGGGAAAAATGGTGAAAAACGGGAAAAAACCCGGGAAGGAGATTAAGTTGGAGGAGCTGTTTCGGATCGGCCGTGCTTAAGCGGATTTAAATACTGCGAACTCGACGATTTCACGAGTCCATCGAAAATGTAGTCCATCAATTTTATTTTCTGATTTCACAAAACCGTTTAAAATATAATTTAACACTGGTTTTTTGCTTATAATAAATCAATAATTAAAAATTATATATATTAACATGTTTTTCATCAATATTATTCTCTGATTTTCCAAAATAGTTTAAAATAATTTACTTTTAAAAAACAAAATAATGAATAACTTTTTTTTTGCTTATAATATTTTAGTTTATTTGAGTTTTGTAAAAGTTGTATTAATTTAAGTTTATTTTAAAGCGTTTATAATAGTTAAAATTTTCGAAATGTTGTATACTAAGCGGTAACTGTGCTTTTTTTTAAATTATGTAGTTATTGAAGGAATGCAAAGTCAAAAGTATAAAGTATCTGGCAGTCGCGTTGGCGTCACTCGAATAAATCACGGCTCTTGTTTTTTTAATAAATTTGAAGCGGGACAAGATTTGTGGTGGCTTATTCGCGGGCAAATTTTTTATTTAGATGCCGTAATGCCACGCCCTCGCCGCATAAATCAAATACCGTTCCTTTTGATTTTCATTTTTCTCTTCTTTTTTTTTTTACTTTTTACAAATATTTTTTCTGGCCGCTCTGCTCGAATTGATATTTATGGCCGTGAAATCGGCTTATAACATTACCCATTCCCCCGAACCCACTCCCCACATATCGTCTATATATACACAAAAGCCAGCGGGTTGTTTATAATTCAACCGAGAATCGCCCCGAAATCAGATCGCACTTAACGGACGAGAACAATGTGTTGGTTATTTTTATTGGATTTAATTGCGAGTGCTTGAACTTGGCCAAGAAATCTCGGGTATAGTAGTATAGAGACCTCTGCCGGAAGCCGAAAACCGAAAACCTGGCGAAAAAAACGAAAAACCAATTTGCCCCCGAGAGTAATCAAATATTGAATGATATACGGGCGTTAATTTTTGCAGAGACAAGGGGGGAATTTCGGATTCCATCCGACGGGAGTAAACAAGCTTCCAATTTGCGTTAAATTTATTGGGGGAATCGAATCTCGGCCAGCTTTTCCACTTAGCTGACAGCTCGCATCCAATATTCATAGATTTCAATTAATTAGCCACCTGACGATTAATGGGAATTAAGCTTCGTTAATCACGCGTTTTATAAATGGCTCATGGGAGAGGTGTTTATACAGGTATCAATTTCCTTAAATCAATTGTGGTTTTTTAAGCTTTTATCTAGAAAAAAATAAAATTATAATTAATAATGTGGGAAATTTTTAACTTTGATTTACGAGAATAGGGTATTTTAAAGTTCATTCAACTTCTGTTGTGTATATTTTCGTCTACAAGGCATCCGTCACTCAATTCTGATTAATTTAAACTTTTTATTTGATCACAACACAAGGAAAATGAGGAAAAGATAAATGAAGCATTAATAATACCAATGGGCTGTTTACTTTTCGATTAAGGCTAGCTTGTATTGAGGGAAATGCCAAGTTTTAATGGGTTATTATGAGCTACTTCTTACCTTTCAAAACCAAAAAATTACAGTTTTTGCTCAAACATTAATTTTTAAAAGAAGAAAAAATAAACGTTTTATAAGCTAGTTAGATGATTTTAAATATTAAAAATAACCCATAAATCTAAATAAAAATGTCTAGATTTTAGGAATTTCGTATAATTTATAAGCGAACTTATTAAAAGAGCAGTCATGTTGATATTAATATTTATTGACTATTTTTATTTAAGTTTTAAATTATTTTGAATAATCCATGTTATGAAGTGCCAATAAATTTCTTATCACACTTATCACATTTTGACAGATATTATTTGAATTTTTTGTCGACGGCCTGCGGTATCATTAGCTGGCGGCCAACCGTTTGTTTATTCAGCTCAACGAATATTGGTTATTAATAGCCAGTGACAGGGGCTGCAGTCACTTCCACACCGTATTAAAAATATTTAAATGACCCAGGCTAATGGACAAAAAAGCACAGGGGGCAGAGTCTCCATTGAATATGTTTGTTTGCAAAATTAATCAAAAGCGCAACTGACAGCTCAGGGAGCGTCGCAAGGAAAATAAATTAAAAATACATAAAGCGCTCAATTACGAAATTTGGTACATTTAATTTGTAAGCAAGGCAAGAGGACAAGAGACTGGGCCAAAACAAAAAAAGGAAAAACAAAAAAAAGAAGGCAATAGAAACACAGTGGCCGAAAGCAGTGTCAGTGGCAATGAAAATGGAATTCAATTTCCATGTATTTTTTCGGCCGCTGCCACTGCCATTTTGTTCTCCGTGTTTTTTCCTTCTCGGTTTCATTTCTGTTCTTTTTTTCTTGGTTGTCTACTGTTCCGGAGGCTATATAAAAATTTAATATTCGCCCAGAAGTCGGCTGCAATAAAATGCTTAACGGAATGTTGTAGTGGCGCAAGTACATAACTTCAATGTGGAATCATAAACCATGATCCCCGGGCCACGGGCCTCGCAACTGCCCAAATTATGTTGTAAAAGTGGCGAACAACAAGCAAATGGCGACACTTGAGATCCCATTTCCCAGAAACAAAAAAAAATACAGACAGACAAACAGTCGGCTCATTAGACGACTTGGTCAGTGGGCAAGGCAACTTTAAGAAATGTCCAAAAAAAACTCAGAGGAATAGAGGCCATAGAGGGGTGAGTTATAGAGGTCCTATCTGAAATGGCCCAGGCCAAAACCCAGAACAAAGCATATGCAAACTCGTTCTTGGGGGCGTCCTTCTTGGCCGAAATCAGTCATAACTTATTTGCAGGCTTATCGAATGACAGCCCCAAGTGGAATTCAAAAAGAAAATCGTTGTGCGGGATAACAAAAGTAACCATTTCGATGGCAGTGGGTTGTACCTGACCTACATGAACAGCTTTTAAGTAAATTATTTCTAGGAATTAATAAAAACTTATCTGACGTTTTTATGGTTTTTTAGAGATGGGATTCATTTGTCTTATACCCTAGATACGGTTTTTACTTAAAAGATTTCTCTTATTTTCCATAAACATCGTTTGAGAATGACAGAGAAGTTTTTGCACTTATTTTTGGAAATGAAAAAAATTCAAAATTTGGCCAAAAACCCAGATCTTAATTTTACAAAAAAAAATAATTCGTTTTTTGACCGAAACAATGGAAATATTGATCCAAATATGGATTGTCATACCTTTCTGAACTCGTTATTTAATTTCCTATTGATTGGCATTTAAACCTGGACATTTTATTTTTTTGTCATTTTTCGTAAAAAATTGTGTAGTACCCCCTTACAAAAATATGTGAAAATTGGGGAAAATTTTATTTTTTCAAAATCACACGGAAAGTGTTATGGATTTATTTATTATTTTGTTATCTGTTTAAAGCAGTACGCATTTTTAATGTCGGACCATTTTAGGCCAAGTTATAGCAAGAAAACAAAAAATCTGGACCTTTTTTTTGGCTAATTTTCGCTTAAAATTATGATGTTACCAATTATAAAAAATGGGAAAATTGGAAATAAAATTTATTTGTTCAAAATCCATTAGTCCCGTTTTAATGGACATAATTTATTTCCATAATTTCTTAATTAGCTTTTTACACTTCCCGCAGTATTTAGGAAAGCCGCCGCTTTTAATTGGCCTGTCCGTTGCGGTGTAAAACATTAGTTGAGTGAAACACCAGTTTACATTTTGGCGGCCCCCGTCGACACTTGTAGGGCCTTTAATGAAGAACCTGTCATCAATGTATTTGCGGTTGGACGCGACTCCTTGTGCCCTCGGCTGTCAGCTGTCATGTACACAAGTGCCCTCTTCCCCACCCCCTTTTCATTTCCACCACACCATTTCTGATGCCCTTTGACCCCTTCGCAGCCACCGCATTTGTTTGGCGCGAGTTTGTGTGGGCCATGTAAACATGGCCACCAACTAATGAGCCCTCGTTTAGCAGCTGTAGGTATTTCAACCGACGACGATCCAAAAGGGGGTGAAGACTTAAATAAAAATCAACAGAGGTGAGAAAAGAAACGCGGAGTTTCATTATTCCCCTGGGCTTGAAATTAAATTACTACGCTTGCATTATATTGTGAATATTAATGTGAACAGCACAAAGTTTCACTTGTTCTTAACGTAATAATTTTGGCTGAAAATTAAAAAAGAAACTTTAGGTAATACAAAGGTAAGAAAATCTTAAAAGGAACTTGAGAGGTTAAAACGTAAAATTTCTATGTATATTAATTTAATTTTTTTTTTCTTAATTTTGTAATACAATTTTATTTTTTGAGCTTAAGTTCATAATAAAATATTTTGAGGCATAAGTTCAATGATGAACATATCTCATGCGAAACTATTAACGCTGACAGATATTCGCCGGAAAGAACGCTTCAAACACGTCTTCAAATTCGTGCGGCGGGATGGAAATTGAAATGGAAATGGAACTGAAACCCAATGGCAGCAGATAAATCAGCTGGCAGCGCTTCGTGCATAACTTATTGCACACTTTGAGGCGGCTATATTGCAATTGTTTGTTGCCACACACAATCGCCAGTCATTGGGGGAATTTGTATTGGGTCTTAGCCTTAAGCCTGGCAGTAACAAATATGAGCACAGACGGGGCCACAAGGAAGCTACATATTCTGCGCTCCGCACAGGCTAATTGAATCAGAAACCGCAGCATGAAATCAGCAAACAAACGGAACGGCCCACGCGGCGGATGCGCAATGCGAAATGTGAAATGCGAAATGGAAAAAGGACTATTTTAGAGCCTAGCAAAGGATTGCTGACCAGATTGATGAATCCCCCGGGCGAAAGGCCTTTGACATAAAAAAAAAGTGGAGCATACATTTATGTGATTCCTGAATAAATCATTTCCTTGCAGTGACATTCTCTTTTTTTATATTTTTGTACTTTGGCCCAAAATAAATACGATATGTGTGTGTGTGGGCATGACAGGACGTCTTTTTTATTCCCCGGCATCCATGGCGTATGAGCAATATGTGTCGCGCGTAAAATAAACAATATTCACACAGCGAAAGCCGCAGGAATTAGGAAAATTCAGCGAATGACGCGTGCAATTAAATGTAATTTGATGTTCTCTGTTTACCTCATCGGCGGGGTGCCAATCGTGCACGGTTTTTTCGGGATCGAAGTTCACGATTCTCGATTTTGGCGCCTCGTCTGCCGAAAACCGAAACGATCGAAAAACGCGCCAAAAACCGCGTCACTCGAAAACCGAAAATAGAAGGCAGATTCCGGAATCCGCAGACGTTGTACTCGCCACAGCAACCGATTGGCAAGTGAATAGGAAATTCCGAGGCGAAGGAAAGGAAACCGACGCGGAGGATTCAAATGGGCAAGCAGTGTTTCACAGACTGCTTGCCGAAAACTGTTATACGGCGAAAGTGCTTCGAAGTATTATCTATTTTATTTAATAGATACGAACTACAAAATAGCTAGCAAGCCAAAAATAAAACGATTTAAGACCCTTGAAACTATTTTTTTTAACTTTTTGAATAAGTAAGCAGAGTAAGGGAAAAATAATCAATTTATTTATATGCTAAGATATCATATTATCTTAAACTTATTGCTATTAAATTTAAAAAAAAAAAAATTCCAAACCAATATTTCAACATACTTTTATTCTGATTATTTAATTTTTAACAATGTACACAATTTATTTAAAAATGCGTCCTACAACATTTTAAAACGAAGGATATTTTAGTTTAATCAATTGTAAGCTGAACTAGTTGAATTTGTAAAAATTTAACATTTGCTACAGTAAATAAAAAATATTTTACAAAATATATATTTTAATATCAAGTTTTTCAACCAAAAGCAGAGCTTTTCTCGCAAGCAGTGTAATTTTCTGGAGCTTTTGGTGTTGATGCCAAGCAGTTTTTTCAACTTCAGATTGCGTGGCTTTGATTTAAACACTTTTTCTTTGTACTCCGATCCGAGAATATCTGAGCAACGGCCAGGCAACTGAGACGAGACCAGAGAAAGAGAATCCGAGTAGGGGCTGATGGCTTTGGCTTTTTTTTTAAATTTATTTTTTTACTTTTGGCAGCATTTACATTGAAAATGGGGCCCTGGCACGTATAATTCCGATAGACAGACGCCGTCTGGTGTTCTTATTTGTAGTCATTGTTTGTTCTTCAGAGATTTACCTTAGAGGAGAACAGGTCGGACATATAAATAGTTGTCGAAGGGTGAGGTGAAGTCATCAGTTACACACCAACCTTCGAAATGTGGAGAGTGTTTGCCTGTTTGGTCCTGATGTCAGCTTTGACCTTCGCCCAGGGTCGTCGAGAGGATTACCCGGGATTTCCGCGCTTCAAAAACATTCCCAGATATAACCAACGACCCTGCGGCCCCCGAGTCTGTGGCAAAAGTGGACTTTGTTATCGTGGTTTTGAGAGCATTTGCGACCTCAACGAGTATAATCTAAAGATGATATTCAGTGGACAGGAAGGTAGGAAATATTTCAGGTCTTGAGCTACTGATTACAAACATTACTGCAGATATTTCCTTATATATTGTACATTTTATTTTTAAATAATTTAAAATCCATTAAAATATTTATATTTTTAACCCACAGAATTCGATTTGACTGACCTTATTTATTGCCAAGAGCCACCGCCGCGGCCAAAGATTGTAGATGTGGGCTACTATTATAATCAACGAAGTTTGCTTGTGGCTCAACCACCTCGCTCGACTTACTCATCACCCATTCCCAGACCCAGAATTTCACAAATTCCGCAATATATCGGACGTTACGACGTAATGCCGCCACCGGATACTTATGGTCCTCAAGCAATAGACTATGTGCTTCCGTATCCGGTATGGGCTCTTAAGCGGCCCCAAACACCACCCAGAAGGAACCCAGTGAGCTATAGGCCTCCATATTGGCACTATCCGACCAGGAGGCCCGAAACAACCAAGCGGCCATGTTATGAGGAAACTACAACCACCACAAAGGCTCCTATATCAACGAAAGCCCCTGAATATTTAACAACCACCACAACATCTCAACCCTCTACATCGACGACCACAACTGAACCTTCAACAACTACAAATACGGCATCATCCACGACAACTAGCACTGAAGCTTCTACAACAACAACTACCACTGAAGCTTCTACAACAACAACCACGGAGAGAACTACGACAACTACCCCTGAGCCAATAACAACGACAACAACAGAGCCTACAACGACAACTACAGAACAAACAACAGAGCCAACAACAACCACTGAGCCAACAACAACCACTAAATTGACAACGACCACAGACCCATCAACGACAACTTCCCAAGACCCCTCCACTACGACAACGAAAGATACAACACCATCAACAACCACAGATTCTTCTACAGAAACGACTACGGATCCGTCGACAACGGTAACAACAGAATCAACAACAACGACAGAACGTTCAGAAACTTCCACTACAACAACGATCGACCCTTCAACAACAACAACGACCGTTCCTTTTACAACAACAACAACAACCGATCCTTCTACAACAACAACAACCGATCCTTCTACAACAACAACAACCGATCCTTCTACAACAACAACGACCGTTCCTTCCACAACAACAACGTCCGTTCCTTCTACAACAACAACAACCACAGAGTCTTTTACAACGACAACAAGTGATCCAACAACAACTACAGAATCTTCTACAACAACAACGACCGCTCCTTCCACAACAACAACGACCGTTCCTTCCACAACAACAACGACCGTTGCTTCCACAACAACAACGACCATCCCTTCTACAACATCAACTACAGCGTCGTCCACAACGACAACGACGGATCCAACAACGATATCTTCTACAACAGCAACCACAGAGTCTTCTACAACAACAACGACGACTAATCCCACCACAGTTTTATCTACAACAACAACAACAACAGACCCAACAACGATATCAACTACGGATCCCCCTACGACATCAACAACAACGGAAGCCTCAACCACTTCAACCACTGCGGCGTCTGTAAGTAGAACATTAAATATATTTATTATTAAATATAATAGCATTCTTACGACTTTCCATGACAGATTAAACGATTCTCTATTGAAGTCAGAGATGAAGAGGGACGCTTACTAGACTTCGTTTTAGCAGATGCGATAGAGCCAGGCTGCACGGAGATCACTAATGTCCTGATAACCACAGGATCAAGAGTCGTCTTTGAGTTCTCAGGGTGCATTGTGCCAAAGACTTCTACAAAGACCCTCAGTGAAGCCACCACCACCACTTCCACTACCACTACCACAACCACTGGGCCAACAACCACCCAGGGAACTCCGTACTACCAGTGGTTTGGCCAATCCTCGAACTACGCTCAATCCCATGTCATTTATACCTATTAGTTGGAAATTATTATTTTGGACCCAATAAAGAGAATCTGATACTTTAAGGCACTTGAAGATAATTTATGATTAAATTAAAATTATAAACAGTATTTCAAGATTTTTTGAACTGAGAAATATTTTACAATTCTTTGGTTGGTATTCCACTTGAATTGATCACGTTTCTATTTTTATTAAAAATCAAAATACATTTAAAATATCGTTAATGTTTCCAGTTTCGTATCATAGGAAACGTGATCTTCGATGGTTGGCGAGTGCCACACGTGAACTGCGTATTGCCGCCCTTCAACCCGCCGTCGAAATCAAGTTCAAGTTTCCCAGCAATAAATTGCTGCATTCTGCTGACTCATGACTTAGCTCATTTCTTTCCGCAGAACTTGCAGCTCGCAGACAATTTCACATGACTCAAGGTTGAGCTAAGCGACCGCGCTGATAGCGAAAATAATAATAATATATTTCATAATGAACTGCAAGACAGAATGAAAGTGGGAGAAGAGGCGTCTGGCTTTCGATATAGAATTATGGCAGCAATATTAATAATATTATAATAATAATAACACGTACACGTACATTGCAAGTGTATGAGAGCACCGACTGTTAGGATAGCGGGACGTATAAAAACTGGAATCGATGGAGGTCACGGCATAGTCGCATTTGAATCGTTCTCAATATGACAGCTTTCCAACTACTTCCACTTGGCCTCGTTGCCCTCTTTGCGGGTTCGGTTTGGGCCTGGGATTACGGAGTTCCTTACTATCCAGCACCGAGCTACTTCGAACGTCAGCAGCCCTACGATTATCCCTGTCCACCGTCGGGATCGGATAGTCTGGTTTGTGCCGGTGCTCCCGGTGCCCAGGCATCCACCTTTCCCAGTCCCTGCGAAGTCCAGCGGTTCAGAATCCTAACGGGAATAGGTGAGTAGATGCCACCGATATCTAATATCACCTTTTTAACTTTGTAACTATCCTCTACAGACTGGGAGATCATCCACGAGGGCAGGTGTGAAACCTTGGAGGTCTGTCCGGATAATTGCCAGGATCAGTACAGTCCCGTCTGCGGCAAGTACAAGGATACCAGGCGAAACTACAGGAGCGAGTGCGAACTGCAGCTGGTCAAGTGCCGCACAGGACATCGTGAGTATTTATAAAGAAATCATAGCTTAAAAATAATAACAAAAAAGATTTAAAAAATTTTTTTTTTACAATTTTTATATTGAAAGTCTTATTTTCAACGAATTTAAATTTATTTAAACAATGAAGCACGGTGTTCGGTTTAAAAGCTTCCTAAAAACGAATTTATTGTAGCGTTAAAAACATTTGCCTTTTAAATGCGCAAAAATCAAGCGGAAAGCGAAATTAACTTAGATTTAATGGCACGTTTTAGTCAACAATTTGTCAGTAAATACGTAAAAGCATGTTTTTTTTTAAATTTAATACCGTTCAAAAGCAACGTCATAGTTACAAAGACTTTTTAAAGGTTTTACTAATATATAAATAATATATAAAATTATATAAGGTCTTTAAAAATCAATTTCTATATTGCAGCTTGGAGGAAGCAGCACGATGGCCCCTGTGAAAGTAGATATCCAGTCGCCCAATCACCGCGCGTCCAAAGCTATAATCCCTATGCGATCAACCCGTATCAACCGAACTACGGATCTTACGGATCTCAAGGACCCTATGGCTCCCAAGGACCTTATGCATCTCAAGGACCCTACGGATCTCATAGACCATACAGTCCCTATGGGTCGCAATCTCAGTCTCAGGCGTATCCTCAAAGCTCTTTCGTATCCCCGAAACCCGCTTATGAGGCTCCGGTCTATCACCCCTATGAGATTTCCTGGGAGAACCTGCCCACTGAGTCCGATTACGCCGTAACCGCCAAGCCCTACACAAATCCCACCTACAAGGCCACGCCAACGACTTCTTCCACAAGCACAAGCACTACCACTACAACTACTTCCACTACAACCACTTCCACAACACCCAAAGCAGATGAGACCACAGAGGCCTCGAGGGTAACTACCAACCCCAGGCAGAATATAAAGGTGAATGCAGTGGTCGAGGAAGCAGCTAATACGACCACTCAACCGCCGGTGACTGAAGCCCCAACTACAGTGAAGCCTGAGACGGAACAGCCCACAGAGTCTAGTGTCACTGCTCCGCCCCTGAAGAAATACGCGACAACCGCTTCACCCCAGCATGCAACAACCACAGCAAGACCTTCAAAACCTTCTCTTTCGATAAACGCAGTAAAGGAACCTGAACAGAAAGCTGAGCAGACCAGTGAACAGCCAACCAGCACAGAATCGAGCACACCTAAAAGGTATCCAGCCCCCAATGTTTATAAGGCATCTCCAGTCTACAGCACCACTTTAGCTACGGAGGATAAAGAAATTAACGAAGACTCTCTAGGCCAGGTCATCAAAATTAATGCAGTGGAAGAGGAGAAGAAAGCTGAAGGGACTACTGAAACCCAACAGACTAGCACTCCCAAAGCTTCACCAACTTATCCGTCCTATCCAACTTATCCAGTCTACGGTTCTACTGAATCTCCCAAAGATGATGACTCTCTAAAAAAGGTCATCAAAATTAATGCAGTGGAAGAAGAGAAGAAAGCTGAAGGGACTACTGAAACCCAAAAGACTAGCACTCCCAAAGCCTCACCAACTTATCCGTCATATCCAACTTATCCAGTCTATGGTTCTACTGAATCTCCGAAAGATGATGACTCTCTAAAGAAGGTCATCAAAATTAATGCAGTGGAAGAAGAGAAGAAAGCTGAAGGGACTACCGAAACCGAACAGACAAGCACTCCCAAAGCTTCACCAACTTATCCGACATATCCAACTTATCCAGTCTACGGTTCTACTGAATCTCCGAAAGATGATGACTCTCTAAAGAAGGTCATCAAAATTAATGCAGTGGAAGAAGAGAAGAAAGCTGAAGGGACTACTGAAACCCAACAGACTAGCACTCCCAAAGCTTCACCAACTTATCCGTCATATCCAAGTTATCCAGTCTACGGTTCTACTGTATCTCCGGAGGATGAAGAAACTAAAGTAGACTCTCTAGATGAGGTCATCAAAATTAATGCAGTTGAAGAAGAGAAGAAAGCTGAAAGGACTACTGAAACGCAAAAAACTAGTACTCCAAAAACCTCACCAACTTATCCGTCTTATCCAACTTATCCAGTCTACGGTTCTACTGAAGCTCCGGAGGATGAAGAAATTAAAGTAGACTCTCTAGACGAGGTCATCAAAATTAATGCAGTGGAAGAGGAGAAGAAAGCTGAAGGGACTACCGAAACCCAACAGACTAGCACTCCCAAAGCCTCACCAACTTATCCGTCATATCCGACTTATCCAGTCTACAGTTCTACTGAATCTCCGGAGGATGAAGAAATTAACGAAGACTCTCTAGGCCAGGTCATCAAAATTAATGCAGTGGATGCCAATACTGAGAAGAAACCTGACGAGACCACTGAGACCCAGAGTAGTTCGGAGTCTAGCACTCTCAAAGCGTCACCTACCTACCCATCATATCCAACTTATCCGTCCTCGAGAGCCTATAACACTTATCCAGTTCGTGCCTCTACTGAAGCTCCTGGGAATAAAAACGAAGAATCCTCTAGAAGACCTTTGGATGAGGCCATCAAGATTAACGCAGTTTCGGTTCCCCAAAACGAATCATTGCCAGAAACCAGCCAAAACTCAACCTCTGCAACAACTGCTTCATCCTCCGATATTTCTCCTGGAGTGGAAGAAGAACTCAAGACTGAATCGGAAGATATTCCTGAAATCGTGAAGACAGAAAGTGTCAGTAAGAACGGAACGGTGGTGAATTTGGAGGTGACCTGCAAACGAGAGACCAAAAAACTAAAGCTGGATACTTCGAGCTCCGACAACCGTAGCAATCTTTATTTCATATTTTTGGGCTGTTAAAAAATTTTTATAATCCATTCATCCATTTTAGCAGATAAGAGATATTGTTGCTGTTTATGCTAATAGTGTAAATTTTAGAAAATAATACTTTGTTGTGTTCGAAACTGGTTCTTCGTCTTCCATTGTTTGGTTGGGCAGCCTGAAGTGGTGGATTTCATCCTGGCTATTCATCAAGAACTCCAGACTCATCACGGGCACGATTGGATCGTTGTCCGTGCGACGCGGTAACTTTTCATTCTGGCGACTCTTCTTGGGCATTTCCAAGCGTTGCTTCTTCTTCTGGAGATATTCACTACGACGCTGCAACTCGCTAAGTGTTTCTAAATTGTCCTCGAGTATTGCCCATTCTTCCCTCAGGTGAGTTAGGAATTTCAAGGGCCATTCTTTTAACAAACGAAGTAACTCGTCTTCTTTTTTGGGCGGAGCGGAATATTCAGGGAAAACGATGGTCTCGGGTTCCCAATCCTTCACACGAGTCTTGTTCACCATGCACTTGGGTTCGCGAGAGGCCGAAATGGAATCGCATAGAATAAATCCATATATATAGAGAGAGATCAACTGCGTTGAAGTCCAGTGTTAGAGATACAACATTCGGTTCTTTTTACACAATTTTTCTTACCATTTTTACAAGCTTTTTCGGGTTTCTATCGGTAGTCAAAAGTATAAGGTAATTTTCACAGCCGTCATAAGCCTACTGTCAGAAATCAGTTTAGTATGGAAAAATGAAATATTCAATTAATAGGAAAGACTAGGCTAACTGGGCATAGTATTGGAAAATATTATCTTCAATTAATGGGGAAAATCAATCAAATATCAATCTTGTATTTTTCCATCTTTTTAGGTGACATAAGTGATTTATTTCGAGGAATTGATATATTTATACAGAATACCTTAATAGATTTTTTCCAGATTTATTTTTGTTTTAAAAAGTAATTTAAAAGAAAACGAAATCTGGTGACTAATTTTAGAAGCTTTAAAATAATATATTTATTTATTTAATTTTATTTTATTTGTTCATCCTAAACAGCTATATAAATAGTTTTAATAAATAAAAGGTAGCCAAGTTTAAGTGGCCTTGGATAGGGGATTTGTCGTGGATGAGAATGTGAATAGGGATGGCTGAGTAGAGATCATTCCTGGTGTAATGGCCTCCGATTCCTGGGTGATTTCAGTGGTTTCGTCACTAGTTTCGGTGGTGCTGGGCATCAGAGTGGTGGAGTAACTTCTAATGGTGATTGTTTCGGGAAGAGTTGTGGTCCTGATTGTAGCCAAAAATGGTGTGGCTGTGGTTGTGGTGCTGGTGGTGGTGCTGCTGCTACTGCCAATGGAATAGGGCTCCGTGACACGACCCACTTCGGGCAGAAATATCGAGAGCGACGAGTCGGTTATCTCGCCATAATCGTGACCCACATCGGGAATATTGTACACATTGTAGGCATCCACCGCCCGGGAGACGGAGACCATGGGATTGGCCAGGCTCATCAGCTGCCGGAATTGCATGGGCGAGGGACTTGTGCTGGTGGCCTTGGTGGGCCTCATCCTGGCTGTCGTGGTGATCCTGGTGGTTGTGCTGCTGCTGCTGGTGCTCCTTGCAGGCGAAGGAGTGGCCAGCATTAAGTAGACTTTCTTCGGATTGATGGCGAACTTTGAGGTCAATGTGGCTGCTTTTGTGGGTCGCTTGCTTTTGTTGCGTCGGAGCTTCTTTTTGCGACCGCTTTTCGTTGGAGTTTGGCAAGGACCCGGGTGCAGGATTCGCAGGACTAGGTAGTCAGAATTGTAAAAAGGTTAAAACAATAGAAAAAATATTAATATTACTAAGATCAATTTAAAATTATTCGTCTAAAATAAAAGTTGTTATAAGTAAATTTTAATTTGATATTTTAATTAATTTAATTTTAACAGATTAACAGACCCTGTTTGGTGTGGCACTCGCGTCGTCGCATCTCGCACTCGTTGGCGAAGGTTTGGGGCAGGGCTCCTCCGATCTCGGCCAGCGCGCAAACGGGTCGCTCCACCTGGGTGCACTTCATCGTCTGGCAGGTGGGCAGGCAACGCTCCATCTCTGTGGGCTCGAGTTCTGCATGGAAGTCACTCAGGGATAAAGATTGATATAGATTGGGTTTAACAAATAAATTGGAGAACCAGAAAGATGACATTTAAATTTAAAAAAATACATAACACAATAAAATAAACAATTTTCCTTGCTTTTTCATAATTGCCTTGATGATATTTGGTTTAATATAATTTTGGAAGACCTTCTTAATGAAATATTTTAGTAAAAGATTTAATTTTAAAATCCTACAAGTGCTTCTCCTTAGTTTAAAATATACATCCAAAGGATCTAATGATTTTTCGTTTATATTTTTCTTATTCAAACTCACCTGTGCCGTGCTGGAACAGCATCTTCATGTTGGCCGCCTCCAGGCGGCAGTTGTTCTCGAAGTAGAAGCTATCGGTTCCGTTCGTGGCACAGACAGGAACTCCGCCCGGCTGGCAGTTGGGCTGGTAGTCCACATACTGGATCTGCATGGCGCCCAGTTGGCCCTTGGTGTTGCCCTTCTCGTCGGAATCCTGACCGAGTCCCGCCTCGCCCAGGATCTTGGCGTACTGGTCGCTGGTGTAGTGCGGATCGCTCATGTGCCAGTTGGCGATGGGCGAGTATTTCTGGGCCGCCACACCTTCGGAGCTAAGGATCCCAAGGATCAGGATCATGGCGATTGCCGTAGTGCTGGTGATTGTGCGCGACTGCATCTCGAGTTGTTTGTGACCTCTGCGGATCGCAGCCGGAGCTTTATAGGGGATCTCGAGAGGTTTATCGCTCACAGTGGCTGCATTTTTCCACTGACACAGCGTTTATCGCATATTTTCTTCTGCCATTGCGATAAGCACCCACTGAAGCAGGTGGTTCTCTGCAGAACCATTCATAATTACTTATCGCTCTCTGAACTGTGGGTCATTCACGTGTTTGCCCATCAGCCAACTACTCTGAGGTCATGTACTGGTTAACTACACAGATTGGTAGAAAAACATGGCCCAAGTTAGATAATTACTTTACCATTTATAATATTTGTTGATTCCAATTATAATTATCAATTCAATTTTAAATACAATATGCTTTTACATATGATTTCAATAATTATAAACAATTGTTTTACCTGTAGTTTTTTGTAATGAAAGCTTTTAAGCTCGAAAGCCTTGGTAAGGATAATAAAAGCTAGGAAAAAGCTTATGTTTTCGTTTGAACAGGATGAAATGTAAAAAGGTTTCCAGTTAGCTTCAAAGCTCTTAATAAAATAGCTTTCTATTTATGCTTCTAATGTTTACCTTGAATAAATAATAATTTAATTTATAATAGGGGGTACATCATGATTTTTTACGAAAAATGACATAAAAATAAAATGTCCAGGATTAAATACCATTTGATCTGAAACGAGTTCAGAAAGGTATGACAATCCATATTTGGATCAATAATTTTATTGTTTCGGTCAAATAACGAATTATTTTTTGTGTAAAAATGGGATCCGGATGTTTGGCCAAATTTTGAATTTTTCTTTTTTGTTTTTTTGCTGTAATTTGGCCAAAAATTGTCCTACACCAAAAATGCACACTGTTTTGAACAGAGGACAAAATAACAAAAGAATCCATAACACTTTACGTGTGATTTTGGAAAAATAAAATTTTCGCCCATTTTCAATTTTTTTATAAGGGGGTACATCATAAAATTTTACGAAAAATGACAAAAAAATAAAATGTCCAGGTTTAAATGCCAATCGATAGGAAATTTAATAACGAGTTTAGAAAGGTATGACAATCCATATTTGGATCAATATTTCCGTTGTGTCGGCCAAAAAACCTGTTTTTTTTTTGGAAATTCGGCATTTCGGTTTTTGACAAACAACATTTTCAGATGTGGTGCAAAGTTTGGAGCGTCAACAAACGGCCAACTTATTTTTGGGCAAGTTTATTGCTTTGCCGTTATTGAAAATGAAAGAGCAAGGGCGTCTGTGTAGATCTGCCCCGCCCACCGCCTACCACCACCTTTACCACCCACTCTTTGAATGTCCTGCAACATCCTTTTCCGCACTTTCGCCCGCACACACACACGCACACGAAGAGTAATCTGCATATGCTTATGTGTGCGGACCAGAAGATACAATTTATTAAACTCTCCTTACACACACACACACACACACACACACACGGCTAAAAATGGGCAAAGCAAACAACAAAAGTTTCCCATTTCCTTACAGGACGAAGGGTCCTGAGACTTTCGAATCCATTATGCGGTCGAACAATGCAGTCCAATGGCTCGGAATCGAAACGAAAAGTCGGAAGTCGCCGAACGGAAGCCGAAAGAAAAGGAGAATGCAGTGGAAAGCCCGGTCGGAATCAAGAAATCGGGTAAGCGTGCTACAAAACAGATAAAAATAATTAAAAGGGAAATTTTAAATTAGATTTTTAGATAGTTTTACCACCAAATAATAGAGGTTTGCCCCTTTAAAATTGGACTCTGCTGACTGCAGTTATACACTTTAGAAGCTGAGTTTTGGAAAACTTTTTATTAGGTAAAAAAACTCGAAATTTCAAGGACTGAAAAAATGTTAAATTCATTTTATTTGAGAGTAAACTAGACCATCAACTTTTTAACGTATTCCACTTTAAATTTGAAATCCGATTGCTCATATTAAAGACTTTACAAGAATATTTTTGGGTCACCATTATGCAAGAAAATTATTAAAAATATCTAAAAGAAAACATTTTTAAAAATTTGTAATGCAAATTTTTGGAGAATTATTTAAGGTACGATTCAATCCATTCCTTTTTTAAAGGCTAGAAGTTAAATCAAAATTAAACAATTAAATCGTATGTTTAAAAACCATTACGATTGTATAGGGAATTGCTTAATTCGATGCTGTTTCCTGCTGACTGTTGATTTTGCCATTCAGTTTGCCTTCTGTTTTGGTCGCGCACAAAGCAAAGGGGGTGAAGGAGGCGGGGCAGCGGGCGAAGGACGGTGGGTGGTTGAGTGGGTGCTGAGGGCTGGGGGCCAAACAATAAACAAACAAACAAGCTGCAAAAGTGTCACACATTCATCATACATTGTAATATGCCTGTGGACCGGGCCATAACATCCAGCATCGCATCCCTTCTTCTGCCAGACTTGGCCAGTCACTGGCTACTGTCACCGTTACTGGTCACTGGTCACCGGTCACTGGTTAGTGGCCATGGTATTTTTTCCTTGCCGGATTCTGGACTCTGGAGCTGGGAAGTCCGAAGAGTTGGTGGCGGTGGGGGCAAATAGACAAAGACAGGCAATCGCGGGCTGCCAACCAGAGCGACACACAAAGCAAAAAAACATTTTTTTTAAACTTATCGGTGGTGCACTAAAAAATACAGATTAAAAAATTAATGCTAAAGCCGATTAAATAAAGAATCTGATTTTTTCGATTTATTTTCTTTTCACATTTTTATTTAAAAGATTACTGAAAAACCCAACTAAATTAGTTTTACTTTAAAGGCGAAAATAAATTTAAAATAAATCATGAAAAAACAATTGTAATTTAAATTATGTTTTTTTTAAATAGGAAAACCAAGATAAACTGGTAAAGATTTACTTTTCTTTTTTTCAATAAACATAAATCCTTTTAATTAACTTGTTAAAAGAATTTTAAAACAAATATTTTTTTCTGAGTGCACTCTGTTGGGAGGGGGCGTGGCAGCGCGGGGAGGTGCGGTTGCAAAACTATGGAAAAAGTGCAAAAAGGTCAGTAAATTAATGTGCAAAACGGGCGCTGGATAAACTTTGAATGTGTCCTGTATGTGTGAGCATATGTGGGTGTTTTACTGCATATGTGTGCGTGTTGGAAAAGCTGACGGTGGGCGTGGCTGAGCCGCCCCCAGGCTGACCGTGAGAGAAAGGGGGAAAGGGAAGGGAAAGTCGGAGGGGAGTTTGCTTTGAGTTACGGCCTCCTCTGTTCGCAAAAGGCACTCACACGAGTAAACAAACAAGCTCACACACAGATACTGACACACACACACGCACAGCACTTTCATTTACACAAACACAAACAGTATTCAGATTTTACCAAAGGGTTATCGAGGGGCAAAAATGAAAAACATAATAAATAGAAGAGAGGAGGAGCGAACCAAACCGGCAGCCGCATTTATTTTTCAATTTATGCGCCCAAGGATAATGATAAATTCGTTAGCTTCCCCGCATAAATTCACTTCGTCTTAAATTAGATGTTAAATTTTCAACTAATAAATCAATATTTTAATAATTTATACAAATTGGTTATGTTCCCGAGTTTTCCCCCTACGATGATCGATTACCGCTCGACTCGCTGTGTTTTTTTCGGGTTTGGTTCTGGGTTTTTGGGGGTTGCTCTCACAATTTCAGCGACTGATTGCTTGGGGTTTTCATTTTTTTTTTCGTATGGAGGGGGCTTATGTGATTATGATTATGATGTGCGGTGGCCTGACAGGGGAATATGCAATCTATGCGAAAGCAAATTACTTTCAAATTAGTTTCCACAGGTGCGGCGAAACGAGTTGGAGTGATGAGTAATTCACAGAGGAATCCCTCATTCGTGGGTAAGAACCGATGACATTTCGCAGGCTTTGCTAGCAAAGTTGCAGGAAACTTTTTAAAAACATATTTCACTTATTTAAGACAGTGAATAGATGAGAGCTTATTTTTACTGCTTTGTTTGCTAAAAGAATTTTAATTGAGACCAAAAAAGTCATATAAAATGTTAAAATATAAAATAATACAAAATATAAATAAAATAAAAGTAAAATATTATAAAATAAAATATATCTCACGACTGAGAGCCCAAAAAGACTAAATAAATAATTAAAATACTTAATATATATAAAGCACATAATAACACAAAATAAAATATGCAATAAAATAACATACAATTTGTAATACAATGTTATAAAATATATTTATTAAAATAATAAAGATAATATAAAATATTGATAAAATAATATTAAATAATATAACACCATTTCCGCAAATTTAATAAAAGTGTGTTATAGGTAAGGATATAATCCATAGCTATCAAAAATCGGGCCACTATGTTTCTAGGTCCTGCCTTAATATTTCTATGATTTCTCGGCTAAAACCCCAAGTCCTTTTCCAACGATCTATCAACCGTAAACGATGTGTCCAGCTTATGGCGTTTTGTGTGTGTCAAACCGAAGGGGAGGACATCTTTGCCATAACTTAAACGGAGTTTCTAATGGCACCCTAATGAAAACTTCATCGTTTTGTCAGATTCTCGAAAACAATTTGCATAAGGACGGGGCATGCAAACAGCCATAAATCATTTAGCACTAAGACCCCTGGTCAAAACCAGACTGTCCCTTCTGTCCTGCTCTTTCTCTCCCTTTTGCACACAGATAGGCCGTCTCTTTCCATTGCCACGTCGTCCTTCTCTTTCTACGCCTGTCTGGAGGCTGCTGGCTTCATTGTGCTTTTAATTCCAATTTTAATTTCACACCAAAACTTTGGTCCTCGGTTGGAACTCCTTGGCCCAGGACTATTCCGCCTTCTGACACAAGAATCCCTCGCTTTCCCCCTCGCTTTTCCATGGAAAACCCCATGCCTGTTGTTGCAATTTTCTTTTGAAAGTTTTCTCTTGTCCATGTTTCGTGTCATGTTGTGTCGTTCCGATTGCGGTGAATGATAATGAACGCAACTGGTCCATTGTTTGCCAGGGAATTTCATTTCGATTCCTTTGCCA